AACTCTTTCTGCCTGTAACTGATGGCAGAGTAGGGTTTATATGGAGGCGTGGAGCCACTACATGACAAAGTCTTAATAGTATACACCATTATATTATGACGGGTAGATGTAATAGTAGACGTCATTATGACCTGACATTTAATAATGACAACGGCTCACAACTACTAACAACTCTCATAATGATACAACTACTACACTTATTACAAGAAAACGAAACAGACTACAGGACAAACTACTTTAATAAAGCCAAAGTAGATGGTGACACGAAGTAGGATTCTGACATATTCCCCTTATCTTCAGAGTACCACAAAAGGAGATTTTCTGATGATGGTGTTCCCTGGTCTTTGTAGATAGGTTCATGGCTAGATGATAGGTTCATGATGCCTTCTGTCAGGATCATCTGAGTCATAGTGCCTCCTTGTACAGTATAATTCTTCAAATTCTGGATCAGGGTCATCTTGGTTAGGATCCTGGGATTCTCTTGCAAGGAATGGAAGCTGTAACTGGAGACTTGGCTGAGGGAGATGGAGTCCTTCAGGCTGAGTGAGTTGAATTTGTGACTCTCCTTGATAAGGGTCTTGGGATGCTTCTGCTAGTAGAGGGACTTGTGACCTATTTGGTGGAGCTCTGACAGCACTCATTATGAAATCTCTCTGGAATTCTTCAAGTGTAGTGCTGCTGGCTGACAGTGAACTTGGAGGGGAAGGTCCAAGAGGAAGACATGAAGTGTCTTCTCCTGTGTCTGGTTGATTAAGTGCAGTAATGTATTTCTAATTTTCTCCGTTAATAACGTTTCCTTTTCTGGCCATGAGGGGGTGGTGACCTAAAGAAGCAGATGGTTGTCTGCTTTGGTTGGCATTTGTACCATCTCTATTATGCAGATCGGTTGTATGAAGGAATCATGGACTTGCAGTCAAGGTACAATACCTACTGTATCATCTCTATTATAGTTTTTATTGACTTCGAAACAATATCTTCCTGATTTTCCACATGTCTACGTCCTTGATGTATACGTTGATATATCTGACAACATCTTTATTCAGAATCATGGAGTCCTCCTTTCAAGGCCAGAACAAGCCCCGAAAGCAAATAAACAAGTCTGTGGAACATGAATCCTGGACTGCTGATGGCAGGAAAGCCCTAACACAACGTGCTGGTGAATTTCTTCAAAGTATGGAGCAAAATCTAAATGTGATTGCTGAGGAGTATTCGTCTTTCCAGGAGGAATTTATTTCCCAGTTGCCCGTACAGCAGCATGTTGACCTTAAGTTCCTCTTTTTCCGTCTTGACTTCAATGAATTTTATGCGCGATTGCGGCCAAGCATATAGGAAGTATATGAACAGCTAGAGGTTCAATTCAGAACGCTGTTTCTATAAGAAGACGAGCCATGAAATATATGCTTTGCCGCCTGCTAGCCGCCATTGTGATTGACGGAACAACTGTATCAGTACTAACCCAAATTTTTATCGTTCGGTAACGGATTATAGGTATGGCGGATACTTCTCCTTTCTAATATGCTAAATCCATTAGAAAAATTTATATGTAGGATCTGACTCTCTCTTCCTGCAGATGGTTTTCACTCCTTTCTGGTGTTTGCGTGTAGCTTGCAGTGGATATGAATGTTCAGTATGCCAGTTGCGGGAAAAAATGATCTATTCTTTGCATTACCTTCTCTCTCTCTCGTCGTCGCGGTGGCACTAGCTCCCAGCTCTTCCAAGTGCTTGGGTTTTGCTGGGGGATTAAAAAGCAAGCTATATGTGGTGCAGAATCAAAGTTATTGCCTCGCACTGGCAGCACCTATTTGCGGAAAAAATGACCAGTTGTTTTTGAAGAAAACATGAATACGGTTGCAAGTCAAGGTGCTTCATGCATGTTTCTCAATATATTGACGGAAAATGTATTTGTATCGATGTAAGCTGAGGGAATCATAGAGCGGAATTCCCTGCCCTTTGGTCTTCTCAACCGCTGGCTTTCTGAAGAAACGGAGTAGTTTCATGCTGCCGCATTTCTTTTAACCGGGGATTAACGCCTCATTACATGGATTAAAAAACATAATTTCACAATTTCTTGTAAAATAAAGCTTGATATTTTAAAATTGAAATTACAGGATAATATTATGACACGGTCATTTTTGGCCTCGTATGATAATGAAGAATAAATAATTCTAATAAACTTTGTTCTAATATATGTAGGATATAACGGATGCCGTGAAGAAAAACTAGCAGGGCATAGGAATACAGCGATGTACAGTGATTGTGTGGAGGGCTTGACTTTCTTCTGTGGAGGTTGTAAAAGTAGTTATCCCTTCAAGGACATTGTTGATAACGTTATACTCCTGTTTCACAGGGATTGGATAGTTATACTGATATATTCTCTCGAGAATTGTATCCTTATTGCTAATCACTTAGCTAAACTCTCCAATCATATGGAGAATAACTTTTGTATCCTAAATCCACCGCATTTTTTAAGTGAGGGGGACGTTATAAAGAAAACTTGATTTAGATGATGCTTCTTTGATGTAATCTTTGTACTCAGTCTTTGATTTTTTTTAAAAAATCAATAGAGGTTATTTGGGAAAACAAATTTTTATCCTCTATATTGTTAGGGTCTATTTGGATTAACGATCAGTTTAAAAAATTGAAACTTATTTGAGTGATTAATAAAAAATAAATTCAGTTGCAAAATGACTTAAAAAGACAAAAATTTTATGAAGTAATATATATAATGTGACTATTTTAAAAGAAGTATTGAAAATAAAATTATTAAAAATAAAGAAATTTAATTTATTGTTAGGAAGAAATAAAAAAAACTAAAATACTTAATTAAATATATTTAATGGATAAATATATATTTATAACGGTGCTGTGCCTCTGTTCTTCTCGTTTTTTAAGACTTCCCAGCTGGAAAAAAAATAAAAACTTTGCGATCTTTTTTTATAATTCTTTATTATGATTTTTCTCCTTCATCCCTATTCAATAATGTTATATATAAAAAAGTAAGAAATATGTGAAAAATAAGAAACTTACTTCCTGTTCATGTTTCAGATAAATTTTAATGAATTTTAAGCTTTTCCTTGATTGTAATGGGCAATGTGGGAAAGTGGCTTATAGATGAAAGGAAATGGAGCATATTATTTATGGTCCCATTAATTGTATCTCAAAGTTGTGCTTCGCATGAAGCAATTGTATAGATTGTGGTGTGTATTGGTGCATTTATGTTAGCACTAATGAATATTGTAATCGCAAATCACTCACTGAGAGTGCCAACCTCCGGTTAATTGAGTGATTCACTAATTAGCGATAGGTTTCGAGGCGTATAATGATTAATGGCAGGGACTTTGACAGCTTTCAAAATTTCATTTTTCCTGTTCCTGTTCAGTATCACACGCACAAAACGTGCTATCTATAATCTACTACCTTCAATTCTTAATATAAGACTCCGTTTGACTTTTAATTTAGTTCTAATTATAAGACCCCAATCCATTTTGTCTCTCATATTTATGCATTTTTTTCCAAGATAGTCCTTTTAATAATAATAGTTCTAATCAACACACTTAATTAGCAAGGATATTTTAGGAATGACAACACTTATTTGTTACAAATAACTAACTTAACTTACTTCCTTAATCTCCTCAAATTAGTTAACTGGGTCTTATAATTAGGACTGGAGGTAGTATAATATAGGAAGAATACGATGTCCTACATAACTATTTACAAGATACATGCATGAAGAACTTAAGCTGAAGTTCCTTAATTTGTTAAAATAATGAATAAGAGAGCAATAACAATAGGCCATGAATGATGGATATTCATTCTGCCAAAGTCAGTATCCCCAATCCCACAATAATAAAAATAAGTTTGAAAAACATAAATAACTCTTATGGGCTGTGAGCTTACTTCTAAAAGCACCACACAATAGGTTTTGTATAAAATAATATGCCTAAAGAGTGAACAAGTCAAATTCGTAATAATGAGCCATAAAGAAAGAAACAACAAAGCCATGTTAAGCCAGAAATGAAAAATAACTTGACAACCGATAACAGTGAAGGAAAAAAAACAGGAACATCAAACATAGGATCTAAACCGAAAATAGGCAGTTGAAGCTCAACATTATATAGTCCACAAAGTTTACTTAATTGAGACAAATTAGTTAACAATAACAATAAATTTCATCACAAATATGAGTGTCAAGTATCAACAATCAAAAAATAAGGAGCAAAGTATCAAACCTTCTTTTTTCACTTTAGGAGACCTTTAGTGAAACATTTCATCCATTAGATCCTTTGCCTTATCATTCTCACCTTTTTCTAGAAGAGGTCTGATAATTGTATCAAAAGTTACAACATCAGGTAAGCATCCTTTCTCTTTCATCTTAATCAGCAAGGTCTTTACTTCATCAAACAAGCCCTCTTTACAGAGTCCATAGATTATTACATTATATGCTTGGACGTTCAAAGGATAGCCATTCACCAAAAGACACTGAAAGATTTGTCGTGCATCATTTAATCTACTAGCTTTGCACAAACCATCAATAAGTATGGTACATGTGTAAATATTGGGCTGAATTCCTTGGTCAACAAGTGGCTGAAATAATGTAATAGCCCGATCAAGTTGATGACTTTTGCACAATCCATCTAACAAGACACTATAAAATATTGTATCTGAGGCTTGACCTTTGTCATGCATATCATAAATAATATCATGCACATAGGACATTTTTCCTGATTTGCACAAACTATCAATAATAGAGCTATAGGTGACAATATTGGGAGTCAAATTTTTGTGATGCATTTCTTCAAATAAATCCATGGCGTCATCCACCATGTTCATTTTGCAAAGTCCATTGATCAAAATACTATAACTAATAATATTAGGAGCCAAACCAACTTTGACCATCTTATTGAATAATTCTCTTGACTTAGCAACATTATTGACCAAACAATAGCCATCCAATAAAGTGTTGTAAGTTATTTCATCAGGTTTTATACCAAACTTCATCATCATGGCGACAACAGCTTCACCTGTGGTGACACTTCCTTCTTTACAAAATGCATCAACCAATATATTAAAAGTATAACATTAGGGTTGATGTCTTCAAGTCTCATTTGATTAAATAATCTTACAGCTTCTGGCAATTGATCCATAACGCCAAAACCAGGCATCGTAGAGTTGTAGGTGACAACACTGGGAGATATTCCATGATGAATCGTCTGATGAAATAAATCAAATGCTTCTGCTACAAGGCCTTCTTTGAAAAACCCATCAATAAGTGTATTATACATAACTAAATTAGGTTTAACTGGGCCTCTGACCATCTTTTGGAACAATATAACCGCAGTTCTTGTGTTTTCAGCCTTACATAGTCCAATGACAAGTGTGCCATAACTAACTACATCCAGCTGAAACCCTCTTGCAATAGGTTGATCATGAAAATCTAGGGCCTTTCCAACGTCATTATTGATGCAAAGGCCCTTGATCAGCGTGGTCAAACCCATCTTAGAAATCTTGCCTAAGGCAAAGAAAGCAAAATCCATTCGACCCACATGGCAGTAACAATTAATCAAGATGTTCAGTGTAACCAAAGATGGCACGAATCCCTTGGATTCCGCTTGTGCGAGAAGGGAGAAAACAATTCGATGGTGTTTCAACTTTGCAACAGATCCTAAGATCTTATTAATTTGGATTATAGAGGGTGGGGGCCGCATATGAAGCAAGTGGTTAAAAGAAGAGAGAGCCCCTTTAATACTCTGAGGATTTGAGCCATAAGAAGAAAAGCTGAAGTTGCGAGTAAAAAGCAAATGGAATTCGGAGAACGGGATACCGTGAAGCAGCTTTGCGAAACGACATCTTCAGTTGGATTCAACAACTCAGATCCTTCAACATTAGTTTGGGAGCGACCTTGGGGGCAAACGTCCACCCTCGCTTGCCTTTTGAGAGAGACTTATATTTATTAAGAAAATAAGATAATTATTTTAGTTTTATAGTTTCGAATTCCGGTCAAAAAATAATTTTGAAGCCGTAAATAATTTTTTATGTACTTTTTAAATTCATATACAGATACAATAATTCTTTTTCCGCAGAGATGAAGAATAGAAATTTTCAAGCAACAATATTTTTTTTTATATGGCTTTACGTTACTAAATTGAAATGAACCTGTTTTTTTTTTTTCCCTTTTTACTCTAATCTAATGGGGGTACAAATTAATAGAAGTTAAATACTGAGTAAATTTTATTTCGATAGTTTTACAACAAATAATAATGTTTGAATGATACAAAATGAATTTATAAGTAAAGTAATTAAAAATAAATAGTTACAATTTCAAAAGTATAAATGACTAAATTTTTTTATATACTGAGCATAAATAAATATGAAAAACAAATTAGCTATACTTTTTTTATGGGTGTGCATGTTTTTAATGTCCAGAACGAACAACATTTTATTTGACTTTAGAATTTTTTATCCATGGTTATACTTAAATATAAGAAATAATTTATTTTTTCCACAAACAACTTATTTTATTCTCATATAAATTACTTTCCAATTCGTTATTTCAAATAACAAAAAAAATTATTCTGAACTTTCTTACCCATTGGAATTAAAATTTAAACAAGATATTCAATTTTAGAAATTGTCAGCAATAAAAAACTAACTATTTTATGTTACAATTTGTCTCCTTTAGGTAAGTTAAAAATCTAAATAACCAAAATAACACTCCATGTTGATTTGAATTCAAATGGTATAATTTAAAATTAAAAATCAAATTAAAAGTTAAGTTGGTTTGGTAATACGAAATTTCGATATAACTAAAAAGTAATTCAACAAGTTTTTCAGTTTTTGAATTTTTGTATTAATCTGAGAAAATAATTATTGTATTTGAAAACTTTTCACTTTGAGTAAATTAAAAATCTAAGCAGTTAAAATGATATTTTATGTTGATTTAAAAGTTACATAAATAGAAATATATTAATTTCAAAAACTGCCTACTTTCCATAGCCACTTGAGAGTTGAGACGCAGCAAACTTTATGAAAATATGAAAATATGAAAATTAGGATAAACATTTTGAGTAAATGACCTTCTTATGTTCCACAATATTTTATTAAATTATTTTGAGTAAATTAAAAATCTAAACAATTAAAATAATATTTTGGAAAAAGTTACTTTAAGCATGGAAATTGGAAAGTAGAATGCTAAAATTGTTGAACACAAAAAAAAAAGTAATTACAAAAAATTTTTACTACTTTTTTGCTGAAACAGAAAGGACTTGATTAAGTACCAATAAAAAAGGAGCACTGTGTTTTTTTTTTTTTGGAATGTGCGGAATGGTATTAATAAAGATATTTACAGGGTTTGGTTAGAAAAGAGTGCAATAAAACAGCAAAACTCAAAGATCTCTAGTCGTCGTTTCTGAAGGCTTGCGTATGTGTTCGGCCAGAGCAATAACTTCATTCACAACACGGTAAGCTTGAAATTCTTCTTGAGCATGATTCAAAAAAAAAAAAAAAGATTCAAAAAAAAAAAGAAATTCTTCTTGAGCAAAAATCCTCTGGTTGCGGATAGACCACAATTTCCAACAGAGGAGGCCAAATGTATAGTAGTCTAAAAATTAGGATCCATAATAAAACCTTCACACGTGGATTGGAAAAAGTTACTTGAACGTGGGAAGTACAATGCCAAAATTGTTAAACAAAAGAAAAGAAAACTACTCTTACTGTCTTTAATATAAAACCCAATTATTGAGTTAATTTTAGTCCTAAATAGAAGGCCCATTTCTTATATTTATCAATTTTCTGTAAATTATCCTTATAAATACTCCCTTAACCATAATCAAGTAAAGGAGGAATAAGAGGTATTAAGAAAAATGATTATGGTATTTTAAGAAAAACATATCACATTTCTTATAATTAACTAACTTACCTAGTTTTCTTATTCTAATCAAATTAGTTAAATGGATCTTATATTAAGGACCAGAGGAGTACGTGCATAAAAGGAAAAATTATAATAAAGTCCTAAGGGAAAAAAAATTACAAAACAAATCCTAAAAATTATCATTACCTACTTTAGAATTTGTCACTATAGGTTATTTAGGTTGTTATGAAGATTTGTTGGTAATTATTTTTCTTACTTGAGACTTGATTGCAATTCTCCCTGCATAAAAAGGTGAACTTTGAGGAATTTGACATGCCCTTTCACCTAAACTTTCTGCTAGCACTTGCATACTAAAATCTTTTAATTAATCTTCACTACTCTTTTATTTTATATCTTCTCTTTATTAAAATTTTAAAATCCCACTTGTTCAACTTTTTAAATCGAGCTCATCAAAAATTTTCCTCTTCTCCCTTCTATTTTCTTCGTAACAAACAGGGCAGGACACAAACAAAAAGATCATCCTATTGACATATAGACACATTGCGCCAAGTTGAGGCATCTAACTTACAGTACTTGTTAGATTAACAATATGATGATCCTCGCTGCTATCATAGACAATTAGACTTGTAGATACATTCCTCAACCTTACCTAAACCTAGTCCCCTATCAGAAGTTATGTAAAATCTGTAGCCACAGACTCTACAACTTGGCTCATGCACAAATAACTATGTCAACATGTCTAATGCAAGTATTAATGAATGACTTGGATCATTATACTACTTTTGGTTCTAATTATAAGACCTTGTTTATAGTCTTATAATTAGGACCGGATGTAGTATTTTGCTAAATTATACATCCTACCGTAGGATGGTTGTAGACGTCAAGGACATGGTCTAAAATTAGGATCCTTAATCTTCTGAAGAAAAGGAAGGTTCTAACTTCTAACGGGACACAATGGATTGGAAAAAGTTACTTAAGCATGGAAAGTAGAATGCTAAAATTGTTGGACAAAACAAAAGCTAAAATTGTTGAAGACTTGTGTGCTGTCACAGAAAGGACTTGACCTAATCTCATGAAAACTTGGGTTCCAAAACACCCTTATTGCAGAAGAATATAAAATACTGATATAAGGCTGATCGTAAACAACACTGGCTGCAATGAATAAAAAGAAGGAAAACAACAAATATGAAAATACTGATATAACAGCAGAGTATGAGTCAACCATGATCTGTCTTCAGTAAAGCGAATTGCATCCCTAAGACCAGTTTTTGCATGTAAATGTAAGGCTGGTATTTAGTCCATGCCTTCGTAGCATAATATCCAAGCAAAACACACCTTATTCTACTCATCCTACATAATAGATGAACTTAGACGGTTCAGTATAGAAGGAACCCACAAGCACATTCATGCATTACTACTTTAACCCATTTGAAAAACCTGAATAAAATTCCGAAAGGAAAGAAGATAAATAATAAAGTGATTTCAAACCAGAACAAAGGCTTGAGCATGCTCTACTGTTTTCGTAGCAGTGAAGCCTTGATAAGGCTGTTCAACATTATATAATCCTATTTAGAGGCCAAGAAGTCAGCTCCCTTATTAACCTCTCTATAGACATGAGCAATTTCAACGGACCAACCATTTTGATTCTCTGATTTCCTTCCATAAGCAATCTTCCCATGTTGCATTACCAGACAGACACATTTTGCAATCCATACAATGACAAGAAGAATAAATTTACAGGAGAAACTATGAGTAATGATGGCACTAAATCCTCAAAGTGTCCAACAGAACAGTCTCACAAATAGGAAGATCCATACTCCACATTTCACTCCAATGAGTCATACAAGAAAAAGAAATGAACAACTTTCAAACCATCAGCTCAAAAAAAGGTGGTTCATGTAAAGTCTTGGCGGATCCATGTGGACTATCATCCACATGATACATGCACAAACCACAAATAAGAAAATTAATAACAAAAAGTTCTTTCATAATTTAATTTGGTATCTTATAATGCTACAGACCAAAAAAATATGGCCAATGAAAACAACAACCTCCTAGATTTTATTTTAATATTAGGTTTAATCATCAACATTTCATAGAAGCAAAATGCAAAATCTCTAGAAGTTACAGTTCAAAAACTAAAAAGTTTCTTCAGTTCAGATATTAATGGGAAGGGAAAATAAACTGAATATGAACGTGCCTCTGGCCCCTGAATAATCCCTTGCCACATCCTGCTTTTCTGTACCTTTACCAGTAATGGCACCATGGTGTTGAGAAAAGATCACTGGTAATAAATTGACATAGACCAAGTGAACTCCGAGGATAAAACAACCAGGGCCAGAAAGATTTATTCTTTTTTTTTTTCCCTGAGAAATTGAGAGATGATCAGATGATGGCTTCACTTGGGAACATAAGTGGCACAGATTTCTTTCTTATTTATTTTTTAAAAGAAAAAAATCTATTTTCCATTTTTAAAAGAAAATTTAGTTAGGTAAATATTGTAATTTTACATGTATATTTTGGTATTTGTTCGCCCCAAACAATTATAATTTTTATGGTCCTCCTTAATAAATATCATTTTATGTAGGCCCTTTACTCTAATATTTCCTATATTTTTTTAAATAATTTTTTGTCTTTCTTATTTAAAATAATTAGAATTAGACTATATTGATAGTAGTACCGAATCTTATCATTCATTGACCATGATCATTTTGACCAGTAAACAAGTATCTCATTTAGTTCCATGGCTATCTGATTTTAAAAGCGTAGCAGAAGTATCTCATTGACCATATATAGGCGCGCGCGCATATATGGGTGTCTTTTTTTTTTGGATGAAAATACAGGGCCAACACCCAATCTATATACCATATTGCGTGGGTGTGCAATCCCCACAATATCAAAGAATAGGTACTTATACAACCCAGGAGGTGGTTGATAAAAAATAATAGACTCCTCCTCAAGCTCAAAACTGAGGTTTGCTAAGAAATCAGCCTGAGAGTTCCCTTCCCTGTACACGTCTTAAACTCTTGTATAAGAAAAAAGACTTAGCTCTCTCTTAATTATCTTTTATAGACTCAAGACTATGTCTAGATCATCATCTATATTCCTCAATATATTTACAACAGTACTGGAATCACATTCAACTATAAGCCTTTGTGTACCTAACTCGAGGGCAATTTGTAGACCAGATAGGACTCCCTATAGCTCAACTTTAGCAACAACGCAACTTGCAAGCTTCCTCACATACCCTCTTATCCATCTTCCATCACAGCTTTGTCAGAGCCCACCACATCCAGCTTTACCTTGCAGGCCCCTTGAAGCTCCCTCTGAATTCAACTTTACCCATCCTACCAGATGAGGTTGCCAACTAATAAAGACTTCTTGTCTTCTCATTTCCAGTGTACCCTGTAAGCTGGTTATATTAAGAATCTCATTAACATGTTTCTCAATTACCAACTCTAACTTTTCAAGATCAACAAAATTCTCTTCAAATAGGCACTTGTTTCTCCAATTCCAAAGCTTCCAACATATCACACCATACTCCACTACTTCCTACAGTTTCTTCTACTTAGGTCCCATTTAAACCACTCAAGACCTTCTAATTCTAGAAACTTCCTATCTTGTAACCATTTGTCACACCTTCTCCAAACTTCCTTTACAAACTGACAATCTCTTAAAATATGCATGACTATCTCCAATTCACCAACACACTTCGAACACATAGGACTTCCCCCCATCATTCTGCTTCTTTCAGCTGTTAAAAATCTGTTATGTGTTGCTAACCATAAAAACACTTGAATTCTCTTCAGACCTTTCCATCTCAATATGTGGCTCCAGACAGCATCCCTCACACCATCATCATTCCTGAATATTTCATACACTTTCACCACCACATACTTCTCCCTTAAACCAGTACCCTGTTTGATAACATCATTGCCAAGATCAGAACTTGGAGAGGGTGTAGCCATTTTAAGAATTCTAGAATTAATTGGCCTAAAGATAATTGAAGTAAAATGAGAAAAATTATAAAATATTATTTTAAAGGCGTAGAAAATTTATGGTATCAGAGCATTAATTCAATCTAGAACATTCGCTCTGATACCATAAATATAATAGCTAACTTTCTTATATGCTAATTCCCAAAAATTTTAGCAACCCAAATAAGGGAATGGGAGCAAAATCTCTTCTACCCTCTCTCATACCAAACAAACCTTTAAGAGAGAAGGTCCTAAACAGCTAGGTGCAACTCCACAAATACAAAAATCATGGACTAGGAAAAATTAAGGCAAGGACACATTTAGCAGAATATTTTATAACAAAAAAGTAGTTTAGTTCATAAACTTCCAGAGTTCTTATCCTCTATAATGTTTAGATAACATCAAAACAATTTCTTAAGCAATGAAGATACATTTGATCAATATATATATAAGTTATACATGTAATCAGAATAAGAGGAAGAGTTAAGAAGCAGGGTACAAGATCAAAACTCCATGCCTAGAAGAACAAAGTGTTTGTGAAATTTCATAGAAGCAGACACAATTTAGTCATGGCCAGTTAATAATTTGATCTTGATGGCAAACAAAAGGAAAGATTTCAACAAGATTGGGAAGTACATAGTCAGGTTTAATTATAGGGATTTTCTCTTCACCCCAATGCTTCCATTCTTGATCTCTCTCTTCATCCTAACAAGCAAAACCTAGAACAAAAGTAGCCAGTTCTTTATCAAGTGATACCAATGAATATACACCACAAATAACCCTTTATAAAATTCTACAGCCAATTCTATAGGAAAAGTATAAATATGGCAAGAAAATTTGCGGAAGCATATGAAGTTGCAGGGTACAACAAAATATGCAGTATTCAAATGCATGGTAGAACTTAAAACATTTCAAGTTGTTCATATAATCAAAATGACGAGCACAAATGAAAATTCTTTAATTTGAAGACAACATAGCAATACGTTCAAAAACTACTAAAATCCAATTTCAATCCCAGAAATTAGAAAGTAGCTTTCACTTATTTGTAGCAATACAAAAAAAATTTAAGAAAATAAGCCCTTGTCGGAATCAGAAGCTTTATTCTTTTTTTTCTCTGAGAAATTGAGAGATGGTCAGATGATGGCTTCACTTGGGAACATAAGTGGCACAAATTTCTTTCTTATTTATTTTTTTAAAAGAAAAAAAATCTATTTTCTATTTTTAAAAGAAAATTTAGTTAGGAAAATATTGTAATTTTTCATGTATATTTTGGTATTTGTTCGCCCCAAACAATTACAATTTTTATGGTCCTCTTTAATAATTATTATTTTATGTAGGCCCTTTACTCTAATTTTCCCTATATTTTTTTAAATAATTTTTTGTCTTTCTTATTTAAAATAATTAGTATTAGACTATATCTATAGTAGTATCAAATCTTATCATTCATTGACCTTGATCATTGTGGCTAGTAAACGAGTATCTCATTTAATTCCATAGCTATCTGAGTTTAAAAGCATAGCAAAAGTATCTCATTGACCATATATAAGCATACGCGTACATATACGGGTGTCTTTTTAAAATAAAAAAGGGGTGGGATATTAAAATCTCATAGGACGGACTAGACGAATAAACCCCTTGAGTCACATAAATTTCATGATCATAGCCTCTACAATTACGTACCTATCACCACACAAAAAACAAGCAATTAGCAAAAGAATTTTATTTTGCAACAGATTTGCAATGGAATCATATTAATGACAGAATTAGTGACGAAATTTATTCCGTTTCCGTTATTAATTTTTCTGTCACTAATTAAATTAACAACAGAATTTTAATTCTGTTGTTAATGAGCGATGGATTAGTGACGAAATTTTTCTGTCTTTAATTTTTTTTATTAGTAATAAGCTTTTTTTACAGTGCATCTAAGTTGAACTTGAAATCAAAATCACCCCAGCAACCACTACAATATTCCAATCACAGCTTAAGAATTAATAATAGTCGTTAATGAGTGAGAATGACCACAAGGAACCTTTGAAACTTGTGGGTTTCCATAGATTTGCATAGTTCATTAACACAATATGAACACCAAACAACCCCTGGGTCAAACGCATCAACAAAGAATAGAACCAAAGTTGGAAATCCAGCAAACGGGACATGAAGTTCCATGGAACAATTGAACAAACATATGGTTGCACTGTAGAAGAAGACATAAAATGCATCTTGATTTCCAACATCACAGGTCGGTGCTCCTCCCTATGGAGCCATTGTCCGACGATGGTGACCCGGTGGAGCAGGAGGCTTAATGGAACCACCTTCATCACAATGACCTGCAAATGAGAGCACTGATACAATACAAAATGCTACACAAATCAGCTAAAGACATAAAATGCGTCTTGAAGAAGACACAACAAACTCCACACCCCAACATAGACCCTAATGGCCATTTTTATACCTAAAGATGTCTCATAAGTCCAATTGAAACCTTCGGCTCATTTCCCCACAAGCTGCTCATACATAGTCCAAGTCCATACCAAGATAAAGGCCATTCGTGACAAATTGACAAAGACATCATCCATCAATTCAAATTTCTTCACAACATCAAACACACAGTTACTTTGATGCAAATGCAATAAATATAAAGGAGAAATTGAGAGTAATGAGAACATTAAATCCTGTAAACATCAATCAATCTTAAAACACAGGTTTCAAGCAGACCTCTACCCCTTAGATACAGCAGCCTACATTTAATTATCTTTAAGTTCTGGATTTTTTTTTTTCTGGAACATACATAATACTCAAAACTGTGCATTACTTATGACATTTGTTGTCTTATTTTCTGCTAATGTCTTTCCACTAGACTTAATATCCCTAATGGCCAGTGAGAAGAAACCACAATTCAAACTTCATACACCTGCATTCCATTAAAATGATACATTTTAATAGCAGTGCGCCCACTAGTCCTATTTATAAGTCTCATTTTTCTCATGGCCTTTATTTCAAGTCTCTTTATAAAAAGGAAAAATTACTTTTAAAAAAAAACCATTGCAAAATTTATCACCCAAAGGTATCTAAGGACGAGTAGGCACAACATACCTTTAACTATATGCAAATGTATTCCATTTTGTACATAAAAAATAGGTTGTGCACAGTTAAAGAAGATTTGCATTTATTCAAGATAGGTTCTACCTAGGTCCTTAAACAAATTTCAAATACTTTTGGGCAATAACTTTCCCTTATAAAAGTTAAGGAAACTTTTGACTCACTTCTAGAAATATCCTTCTTTCACTCCTCTTATCATTTGTCTCATCACAGCTTGATTAAATGTGAAATCAGACTAAAGTCTTGTGTTACTATTTATGATAGGAACACAAACTAACGGATACATGAAAGGTCTATCGTCGAGTTCTTTAAGTAATTCAACAATGCTCATACTCTCATGTCCCTGAGAAGTTTGGGCATTCCTTTTCATCTAATCTTGCAAAATATCATTGCGAACCATACAAAAAGAAAATCATTTCATATGATGATATCCAATAATCATCCTGATAGCTACCGTTGACATTTAAAAAAAGCAAAAAAGACAATGCATGAGCTACAACAACTAAGATGTGTCTAGCAGTTGATAAACCAAATAAGTAATTGAGCATAAAGGAAGAAGGCATAAAGTCATGTTAAGCCCCAAAAAACTTGAAAACTAGTACTCCTCCGATCCTTATTATAAGACCCCATTTGACTTTTTATTTGGTCCTAATTATAAGACCCCAATCCATTTTGTCTCTTATATTTATGCATTTTTTTCCAAGATAATCCTTCTAATAATGATAGTTTTAGCCAATATACTTAATTAATAAGGATATTTTAGGAATGACAACACTTATTTATTATAAATAACCAACTTAACTTACTTCCTTAATCTCCTCAAATAAGTCAATTGGGTCTTATAATTAGGACCGGAGGAGTAACATTAAAAAGTTTCAAACATGTGATTTGAAAAGAATATCTTAAATTACAGTTAGTCATCATATAGTACAACAATGTTTACTTTAAAGAAACCAGAATTTGTTAACTGTCACAACAACTTTCATCGTGAACGTAAATATCAATAAGTAGCAAAGTATCTAACCTTCTATTATTGTTTTAGGATACCTCTAGTGAACATTTCATCCAGTAGATGCTTTGCCCTATCATTCTCACTTTTTTTCCAAATGACGTCTAATAATTACTCCGAAAGTCACAAAATCAGGTGAGCGCACATTCTCTTGCATTTTATAAAACAAGGCTTTTGCCTCATCAAACAAGCCCCCTTTATAGAATCCATTGGTCATTGCATTATGTGCGTGCAAATTCAAAGGATAGTCATTGACCAAAAGACGCTAAAAAATCTGCCGTGCGTCATTTAATGTACTACCTTTAATCAAGCCACCAATGAGTATGGTAAATGTGTAAGGATTAGGTCAAATTCCTTGGTGACCAAGCAATATGTGTTTGTGTGTATATAATTCATAATGGGAAATATTTATATATCAATCTGAAAATGATTCTAATTTTTATGTTTTTGCCTTTAATCATACAAGAGAATTATTTTCATTTATGTCTCACTTTTATTTTTTAATAAAAATACTTCTCTTATTAAAGGCAAATTATATCTATTTTCCCGGCACTTTTATTTTTGACGGGGTAAAAAGGGAAAAAGAGAACTCAAGGTTTTATTTTAAAAAAAATATAAAATACTTGTCATGTCTTTAATATAAGACCTAATTAACTAATTTGAGTAAGCTAAACTATCCATTCAGTCCTTTAATTTAATAAAGAGTTTCAATTTAATCCCTTAACTTTAAAAAGTATACTTTTGATTTTTTTAATCCTAAAATTGTCAACAAAAAATACGATCCTGATATCTTAAATGTTGATAAAATATTCTCAAATGCTAGCATATGAATTTTAATTTTTAAAATAATCATGATTGTTACAAAAAAATACCATTTAAGCCT